TTCCCAGGCTGGTCTCGAACTCCTGGCCTCAAGCAATCCTCCCTGCTTTAGACTCCCAAAGCACTGAGATTACAGGCATGAGTCACCACTCCCGGCCTGACTACAATTTTGAACAGAATAGGATCAAAGATAAAACCCTGCAGGATGCTGTCCTATAAAGCTTTATACAATCTCTTTGGACTCAATCATCCGACCAGAGCTGGATGACCCAGTTGTACTATCCTTAGCTCACATTTCTCCATCTTACTGACAAAAATTCTGTGAAAAACATATCAAGTGGCTTATTGAAATCAAGATAAACTGATCTATAGAATTGCCCTTATATGCCATATGGTGATATCAAAAAAGGAAGCTAAGTCTGTCATTACTTGTTTTTAGTTGCCAAGAGTTTGCTACATGGACACCTCCACTTTCATCTTACTCTTCTTCACTAGGACTCCTATTGGTCAGAAGTTTATATTTTGGGGCCCTCCTATCCCTCTGAACTCGATTTTTCTTTTGGAGTCTCTTCTCTGAAGTGTGCTGAAAGCAGGAGAGTAACTGAATACGCCCAGCTTTTACATCTTTGGCCACTGTAAACCTTATGATGACATAATCTTTTTTTCTTGTGACTTTAGGTCTTTCTGAACAGCTAAGTTCACAACTGCTGTTAAATTCCAAGAGAAAAGTGTTAGCGTTATCCCAAACCAACATAGCTTAAAGTTTCACCCTTTAAGAATTAAAATACACACTCACAATTCGAAAACCATGTAAAGCATTCCATCTGAGCTATATGTCTCCAATAACTCTACAATGTGTGGATGTTTCAGCATATGACAGATACTGGCTTCCCGCTTTAGATCTGTAAAACAAATATACAGCATACTTCATTAGGTAGGAACAAAAGACAATTAGAGTGAATGATGAATGAATGGATGTGATCTATGGTAACATGAATACTTCTCTAACTAGAGAGATGAAATCCCCCATTTAAACTTAACTTTTTACCCTTGAAAATCTTTGACAATATAGCTTTTCATATTTTTTGCAAGCTTAAATCTATGTACAGTATAGAATAAGTTCTTATTAATAAAAAAAGTATACATTTCTTAATATACTTTCCCCAAAAGTAAAATAAATACACAAATACTTTCCCCAACTCTTGTAATCAAGTCTCAGCCTCCAAATTTGTAACTCTTCCTTGATCTGCTAATAAGCTAAAAACTCAATTTACTGGTTTTTTTTTTTTTACCTCTTTTTCTTAGTTTCCCCTAAATAAAATAAAAATATGTTGTCTATTCTTTAGCCTAAAATCTAGCATTTATAGACACATCAGGGAAGTTATATGGAATAGGGAGCAAAAAATACTATGGTTTAAACAGAAAAGATACTACTCCTAGAGTCCAAGTCAGAATTTTTAAAATATCATCTATGAAATGCACTGGGGTTCGGTGTGGTGGCTCATGCCTGTAATCCCAGCACTTTGGGAGGCCAACACAGGCAGATCACTTGAGGTCAGGAGTTTGAGACGAGCCTGGCCAACATGGTGAAACCTCATCTCTACTAAAAATGTAAAAAATTAGCTGGGCATGGTGGCAGGTGCCTGTAATCTCGGCTACTCAGGAGGCTGAGGCAGGAGAATCATTTGAACTTGGGAGGTGGAGGTTGCAGTGAGCCAAGATTGTGCCATTGCACTCCAACCTGGGCAACAAAAGTGAAACTCCATCTAAGAAAAAAGTGTTAGATAATTCTCAACTCTACCTACCTACTTCTTCAAAGTAACAGTGTTACTCTGAAAAACAAATCCAAATAATGTATGTAAGACTACTGTGTAAGCTCTATAATACTATTTGGAAAACAAAGTTGTTAATATCATCATCATCATCATCATCATCATCATCATCATCTAAAACAGTTTGGGCATGGAAATCGCTTGCCATGTCTACATGGAATAGGATAATGAAAGCCATCCAGTGCTAATAACGCTGGGGCTTTATCTGTTTGCTGATGACTAAAATATAATGGGACATTTTTATATGAGAAAGTAGAAGGAAGATAGGAAAGGAAGAACAAAGGCTAAGGACGTACTGCACAAAGCAAAACAGTAACATTACCTCCTTTCTGATTTATTAGTTCAACTTAGTCTTGTCAACAGAGCAATGACTGTGGATGTAACCTTAGAAGATTCATTTACATAAGGGTTGAATGAGAAAAAGAAGCCAGAAAATTTGACAAAAGAGAAGCCACAAGGAAAGAAAGAATCAATAATAAATATTAAGAAAATCAAGGGAATAGAGGAAATTAAGGTGTAAGTGTAGCTGGAGAAGGCTGAAAGCTGAGAAAGGCTCTAAGACTCAGCCAGAAAAGGTCATGAAAATTCTGGGCAAGATCAGTTTTTGTGGAGGAGTCAGGGTTGAAGTCAGTATGCAGGAGACAATTATGTCATAATCAATTAAAATTATCACACCTGTCACTGGGTTAAGTACTTAATATAGTCACTATCATTTGATGTCCCAACCACCCTGTGAGGTATGTATTTTACAGATGGGGAAACTGAGGCTTAGAAACGTGTTCAAGGTCATACAGCTATCATAATGGTAGGTTTTGAACCCTGGCCTGCCCAGTTCCAAAGTCAGCAGTCCTTCTATTATGCCATGCTGGGTTTGAGCACGATCTTATTAGAAGAATCTGGCAGTAGGAAAGAAATTGCAGGGTTAAGGGGAAGGTTTTATTTGTTTTTTTAAAGGAAGCACTCTGTGTGTTTGTAAGTGGCAGTGATGAAAAGCCCCAAGGATCTGGAGTCAGAAAACATGGTGCTGGTCCTGCCTTTGTCCTACCACCTACAGGCTGACTGCTAACTTCTACAAATGGCTCCCTTAGAATCAATGAAATGGGGCAGTGCCAAGTGATGTGGTACCTGCAGAGTCTACCAAATCAGTTTGAAAGGGCAATGTTAAGATTCAAATGAGAAAGAACAAAGCTGGAGGCATCACGCTACCTGACTTCAAACTATACTACAAGGCTACTGTAATCAAAACAGCCTGGTACTGGTACCAAAACAGAGACATAGACCGATGGAACAGAACACTGGCCTTGGAAGCAACGCCACACATCTACAACCATCTAATCCTTGATAAACCAGACAAAAACAAGCAACAGGGAAAAGACTCCCTGTTTAATAAGTGGTGTTGGGAAAACTGGCTAGCCTTGTGCAGGAAGCTGAAACTGAACCCCTTCCTTACACCTTATACAAAATTTAACTCCAGATGGATTAAAGATTTAAACATAAGAACTAACATCATAAAAACCCTAAAAGAAAACCTAGGCAAAACCATTCAGGACATAGGCACAGGCAAGGACTTCATGACTAACACACCAAAAGCAATGGCAACAAAAGCCAAAATAGACAAATAGGACCTAATTAAACTTAAGAGCTTCTGCAAAGCAAAAGAAACAACCATTAGAGTAAACCAACAACCAACAGAATGGGAAAAATTTTCGCAATCTTCCCATCAGACAATGGGCTAATATCCAGAATCTACAAAGAACTAAAGCAGATTTACAAGAAAAAAACAAACAAACCCACTCAAGAGTGGGCGAAGAATATGAACAGACACTTTTCGAAAGAAGACAAATATGTGGCCAACAGACATGAAAAAATGCTCATCATCATTGGTTATTAGAGAAATGCAAATCAAAACCACATTGAGATACCGTCTCACACCAGTTAGAATGGTGATCATTAAAAAATCTGGAGACAACAGATGCTGGAGAGGATGTGGAGAAAAAGGAACACTTTTACACTGTTGGTGGGAGTGTAAATTAGTTCAACCATTATGGAACACAGTGTGGTGATTCCTCAAGGGCCTAGAAATAGAAATTCCATTTGACCCAGCAATCGCATTACTGGGTATATACCCAAAGGATTATAAATCATTCCATCATAAAGACACATGCACACGTATGTTCATTATGGCACTGTTTATGATAGCAAAGACCTAGAACCAACCCAAATGCCCATCGATGATAGACTGGACAAAAAAAAATGTGGCACATACACACCATGGAATACTATGCAGCCATAAAAAATGATAAGTTTGTGTCCTTTGTAAAGACATGGAGGAACCTAGGAACCATCATTCTCAGCAAACTGACACAAGAACAGAAAACCAAACACTGCATGTTTTCACTCATAGGTGGGTGATGAACAATGAGAACACTTGGGCTTAGAAAAGGGAACAACACTCACAGGGCTGGGCGGGGGGTGGTGGTGGAGGAGAGGGATGAGGGTGGGGTGGGGAGAATGGGGTGGGGATAACACTGGGAGAAATGCCTGGCATAGGTGACTGGTGGAGGGGGACAGAGACAGCAAACCACCATGGCATGTATGTACCTATGCAACAATCCTGCAGGATGCAGGATGTGCACATGTACTCCAGAGCCCTCCCGCCCCCAAAAAAGATTCAAATGAGAAGCTGGATGTGTGGAGCCCAGCACGCAGTGGGCTGGGGGCCCAGCAGGCTCAGTGTTTACTGCAAAGGAAGAGATCAGAGGCACAGGAAAGATGCCTCCATCTCCAAAAGTAGTTAGAAAGGCACCGCAGGAGGGGAGATGTGAAGAAGCTGTGGGGTTTGTGTGGCGAAGTCATAACCATGAGGAAAGCTTTTAACAAGAGCACTGGAGGGCCAGGCTGAGCCAGACAACATCAATCACATGCCTGCAGATTTTTCCTCTCCAAGGGTGTTCTGCCTTCTAATTCTAGGAAAAGCTTAGGAATTTTATTACTCATTTTGATGTTTAGCTTCTCATTTTATTAGAACTCATCCTTTCCTATCTTCTATTTTCATCTTAAGTTCTCTCTTTCCATTCCTCTCTATTCTAATCAAAAGCCTGATTTTAACTCTATCCTATAACACTGGAGTCATGAAGTAAACAGATTTGGTGTTTGCCACAATTAAAACTGATCTTTTCTCTTCTTTTCAGTTTTCTATTTTACCTCTTTCATGTAACTAACTTGTATTTTTCCTTTTTTGAGAAAGAGTCTTGCTCCGTTGCCCAGCCTAGAGAGCAGTGGCACAATCACGGCTCACTGTAGTCTCCGCCTCCCAGGTTCAAGAGATTCTCCTGCATCAACCTCCTGAGTAGCTGGGATTACAGGTGCCTGCCACCATGCTGGGCTAATTTTTGTTTTTTTAGTACAGATGGGGTTTTACCATGTTGGCCAGGCTGGTCTTGAATTCCTGACCTCCAGTCGTTCACCGCCTCAGCCTCCCAAAGTGCTGGGATTACAGACATGAGTCAACGTGCCCAGTCTAAATTATATTTTTATCTTCACGTTCACCGTTTGCTATATGATACATTCGGTATACTGAAAGTTTGAAAACAGAAATGGATGCTCTTTAGACCCCTCCATTTGAGCCACATATTTCGATTTGGTAAATGGCTGAACAAGTCCTTGGTCTAGTCTCTTATCACCTACCCATCCTCAAAGGCAGAATTGCTGGGGGGGCAGCCTTCAAAGCAATTTAAATGTCACCAGATCTGACATTTCAGAACTAAAATCAGAACAGTTACTGGACAATATAAAACTAACAACATAAAAATATATTTCGAGTGATAAGGGCAGTGATGCAAAAGATGGCTTCCATCTAGAAAAACTGTGGTCTCATGTTTTCCTGAATTCAAGTATTAAATAGCTCAAATAGATAAGCACAATTAAAAAAACAAATACATTATATATGCATTACAACTATAGATTCCATGAATATTAAACTCAAAATGTTTGTTTCTAAATGTGAATGTGAATTAAAGAATTATGTATTAAGTGCTATTAAGTCCATGTTGATATAGCAAACTAAAAAC